TGAATATTAGTTGACAAATAAAAAAGTTACAGGGCAAAAACGATTTTAAGAGTTGACCCCTAAAAGTCCCTAATTTTTAGAGATTTAATTTTCATAACCTTTTCACCTGAAGACAATAACAAATCAATTATTCTCTGTAAATATTACAAGAATTGCTTACTCTCGTTTTGAGATAATGGAGGACGCAAGATTTTTTTTTTACTATAGAAACTCCCATAGACAATTTCAAAGCCTTATAGAACCGGAAGTTCTGGTCTGGTGGACATGAAACTTACATTACAGCCTTTAATTACTTTGATAAACAATATATAATCCTCAAAATTAATTTCCTACATTGTTTACAATTTTTTTTAATTTCAATCCCCCCTTTTCTTAACTTTGGAGCCCTATAACTCAAAAATATACCATAGGTGCAAAAACGCTAACGATGACTTTTTTGCAGATATTACTTGGAGGAATACATTCCTAAATTTTGAACGAAATTGCATGTAAAATAAGGAAAGTTTTAGGCTTTAGAGAAAATATAGTTTTTGACTAATAAATACCGGAAGTTACGTTTCCGGAAGTACAAAACCTTACTTATGGGACACTTTTAGATGTTCTGTTAAATGGTTTTGTTCTAAATTACATATGTCTAGTGGTTTTCTTTAAATCCTTGACGTAAAAGTGTTAAGTATAATAATAATAATAATAAAACAAGACGAAAACAATAGGTCTTTTCGACAAAAGTCGAAAAGCCCTAACTAGACCTTATTTTTGTCGTTCAACAAAAACGGAGGGCTTTTCGACCCCTTAAAATCAATAATATTAAAAGAAAAATCCATATTTTACAATAAAAAAATCTAAAATACAATATGGCAAAAGTTCTTTTGAGATCAATATTTGATTGGAATCATAACACTTCTCTTTGTATGTCAGGGTCTACTCAAAGAGACATAACTCTTTTGTGGTTATTAAACAGATTCGAAAATGAACTGTTTTTCAGTCCACTAAAACTCCTATAAGGGGTTCAAAAGTGACCCACAGGCCCATAATTGTTAAAGTGTACTCTTTATACTTGATGTAATGTCAACATTAGTTTGAAGATTGGTTGAGTATTAAAAATGTTACAGAGAAAAAGCCGTTTTCTGTACTGACCCCTAAAATCCTTTCTATTTTAGGGATTTTTATTTTTTGATTTGGAGAAAATGCTAGAGTCAATATTCATATGAAATTTCACAAGAATTGCTTGCCTACCTTTTGAGATAATGGAACAATCATGATTTCAAATTTAACATAGAAATCTCCATAAGCAATTTTAAGGTACTTATAAAACCGGAAATACACCTCATATGCGTACAAAAATTGAAAAGTAGAGAGCATATTAGACTCTAAAAAGGTTGACAAAGGGAGATAACTCTTGCACAATTATTTTTGAAAATACTTGAAAATACAAAATTTCAAGTCTCTAAAAGTCCTTTAAGGGGTCAAAAAGTGACCCCACGGACCATAATTTTTAAATTGTAACTTTTATGCTTAAATCAAATCAAAAATCAGTTTGAACATCTATGGACAAATATAAAAGTTATAAACAAAATACTAATTTCTGTACTGACCCCTAAAATCCCTTTTTTAAAAGAAATTTTATTTTCATGACCTAAGCACCAAAAGGCAATGCTAAAGTAGTTTTTCATGTAAAATATTATGAGACTTGATTGCTTCCCTTTGAAAAAAATGGACATCGTATGATTTCACATTTAACATAGAAATCTCCATAGGCAATTTTAAGATACTTATAAAACCGGAAGTACTCAACATATCCACACAAAAATTAAAACGTAGAGAGCATATTAGACTCTCAAAAGGTTGACAAAGGGAGATAACTCTTGCACGATTATTTTTGAAAATACTTGAAAATACAAAATTTCAAGTCTCTAAAAGTCCTTTAAGGGGTCAAAAAGTGACCCCACGGACCACAATTCTTAAATTGTACTTTTTATGCTTAACTCAAAACCGAAATCAGTTTGAAGACATATGGAGAAATAAAAACGTAATAAACAAAATACTAATTTCTGTACTAACCCCTTAAATCCCTTTTTTTAAAGAAATTTTATTTTCATGACCTAAGCAGCAAAAGGCAATGCTAAAGTAGTTTTTCATGTAAAATATTATGAGACTTGATTGCTTCCCTCTGAAAATAATGGACATCGTATGATTTCAAATTTAACATAGAAATCTCCATAGGCAATTTTAAGATACTTATAAAACCGGAAGTACACTACATATCCATACCAAAATCGAAACATAGAGAGCATATTAGACTCTAAAAAGGTTGACAAAGGGAGATAACTCTTGCACGATTATTTTTGAAAATACTTAAAAATACAAAATTTCAGGTCTCTAAAAGTCCTTTTAGGGGTCAAAAAGTGACCCACGGCCAACAATTTTTAAATTGTACTTTTTATGCTTTACTCAAAACTGAAATCAGTTTGAAGATTGGTTGATAAATAAAAAAGTTACAGGCAAAAAACGATTTTTCTGTTCTGACCCCTAAAATCCCTTTTACCTGCAGGAACCTTGTTCAATGACCTACGTACCGGAAGACAATACCAGAGTTATTATTCATGTGTAATATCACAAGAATTGCTTGCTTCCCTTTTGAGATAATGGACATTGAATGATTTCTAATTTAACATAGGAATCCCCATAGACAAATTTTAGGTACTTATAAAACCGGAAGTACACTTCATATGCATAACAAAATTGAAACACAGAGAGAATATTAGACTCATAATAGGTTGACAAAGGGAGATAACTCTTGCACCGTTATTTTTTAAAATACTTAAAAATACAATATTTCAGGTCTATAAAAGTCCTTTAAGGGGTCAAAAAGTGACCCCACGGACCATTATTTTTAATTTGTACTTTTTATGCTTAACTCAAAACTGAAATCAGTTTGAATATTAGTTGACAAATAAAAAAGTTATAGGGCAAACACGATTTTAAGAGTTGACCCCGTAAAGTCCCTAATTTTTAGAGATTTAATTTTCATAACCTTTTCACCTGAAGACAATAACAAATCAATTATTCATTGTAAATATCACAAGAATTGCTTACTCTCGTTTTGAGATAATGGAGGACGCAAGATTTTTTTTTACTATAGAAACTCCCATAGACAATTTCAAAGCCTTATAGAACCGGAAGTTCTGGTCTAGCGGACTTGAAACTTACATTACAGCCTTTAATTACTTTAATAAACAATATATTATCCTCAAAATAAATTTCCAACATTGTTTACAATTTTTTTAATTTCAATCCCCCCTTTTCTCAACTTTGGAGCCCTATAACTCTAAAATATACCATAGGTGCAAAAACGCTAACGATGACTTTTTTGTAGATATTACTTAGAGGAATACATTCCTAAATTTTTAACGAAATTGCATGTAAAATAAGGACTGTTTTAGGCTTTAAAGAAAATGTAGTTTTTGTCTTATAAATACCGGAAGTGACGTTTCAAGAAATCCAAAACCTTACTTACGGGAGACTTTAAGATATGCTGTCCAATGGTTTAGTTATCAAATACATATCTCCAATGATGTTCTTTAAATCACGAACATAAATCTGTTAAGTATAATAATAATAATAAAACAAGACGAAAACAATAGGGCTTTTCGCCTGAAAGCGAAAAGCCCTAACAACACGAAAACAATAGGGCTTTTCGCCTGAAAGCGAAAAGCCCTAATTATAGAGAAAAAAAATAGTTTCACTGTATTTACGGTGATAACATGGATTAATTGTATTTGCTTAGATTACAATCCGAGAAATTAATACCAGTTAACGTAACTCGACTTAACATTGTAATTACCAATATAACACGTAATTACTGAGATACAATGATAGACGTCACTAATAAAGACAGCAAAACTAGACTATAATTACCGAGATATTAAACTAAATTGTTATTATCGAGACAACAAAACTAGACTGTGATGACCAAGATAACAAGACTATACTTTAATTCACAATATAACATTACTGGATTGTAATTACTCAGAAAACATTACTGGAGTGTTATTACCTAGAAAAAATAACTGGAGTGTAATTACCTTAATAACATTACTAGAGTGTAATTACATGTACCTATATAATATTGCTGAGTGTAATTACCTAGCAAACATTACTGGAGTGTAATTACAAAGAAAACATTACTGGAATGTAATTACCTAGATAATATTATTGGAGTGTAAGTACCTGAATAACATTACTGGAGTTTAATTACTCAGAAAACATTACTGGCGTGTAATCACCTGGATAACATTACTCGAGTGTATTAACCTAGATAACATTACTGGAGTGTATTCACTAGAAAACATTACTGGGGTGTAATTCCCTAGTTAACATTACAGGAGTGTAATTACCTATATAATATTATTGGAGTGTAATTACCTAAATAACATTTCTGGAGTGCAATTACTCAGAAAACATTACTGGAGTGTACTTAACTAGATAACATTACCGGAGTTTAATTTCCTAGATAATATTGCTGGAGTGAAATTATCTGGATGACATCACTGGAGTGTAATTACCTAGATAATATAACTGAATTGTAATTACCTGGATGACATTACTGGAGTGTAATTACCTAGATATCATTACTGGAGTGTAATTACCTGGATATTTTACTGGAATGTAATTACCTGGATAACATAACTGGAGTGTAATTACCTAGATAACATTACTGGAGTGTAGTAACCTGGATAACATTACTTAATTGCTTTACAAAATAACAAATAAGTTATAACAGAGATAACAATACTAACATTACTCACATTATAAATACCAAGATTACAATACTAGACCGTAATTACCGAGACAACAAACTGTAATTACAAGGCCAAGAAACTGTAATTACCGAGAGAACAAACTGTAATTTCAAGGACAAGAAACTGTAATTACCGAGACAACAAACTGTAATTACAAGGACAAGAAACTGTAATTACCAAGAAACAAACTATAATTACCTCTGTCGTTTGCTTTAGAGACATTTATTGTCTCGCCATTTAGCATTTTTATCTGGTGGTTACCATTTGCAAGTTTTTCTAAGTAAATTCTACCAGGAGCAATGAGCCGCTTAAACAACTGAAAACAAAATTAAAAATATTAAACATCATTTATTAACACTCTCCTGGATGAATAATAACAATTATTAATATAGAGATCAATATTCTTTTCTTTAAATTGCATTCTTATTAACCATAGATCTGCGAAGGAGTAGTTGCAAGAAACATGAAGATGTATTTCATTTTTTATAAAAGAGTAGATACTTTTATAATACTGTATTTTTGGACCAAATACTAGATTATGATTTTTTTAATGGAAGATTGGATGAAATTCATTTCTTTGCCCTACTTCTTTCTTTGAGCATCAACATAAATACATTATAATTGACGTTTTAAAAAATAATTTTAAAAACATTTTCGAACCCTAGTTATCGATTTAACAGAGAATGGATTCTCTTTTATTAATTATATAGGTTGGTACCCTCTATAAAAATGAACTTTACATTCAAGCTATTTTTTTAATTTCTGAAAACTTTCATATAATTCATCTCCCTTTCTTGATAATAAAAAAAAAATAATTCACTTCTGTTCAATGAGCATCTTTTATCTTCACTTACATACTGAAATCGTGGTGTGTCTATCATGACCCTGACACCATTAAGCGACAGTGAAAAATAGTCTACAGCACTAGAATTGGGAACGAAGACTGTGAATTCACATGCCACTCTGCTCGTTCCGCAACATCCCATGTCGTAATCTGCGCCACTCTGTGTCCCTGTGTTTAGCATGTTGCACGGATACGTGTTGCACGGAGATTTGTTGGCATTGCTGGGGTCTCTACAGTACGTGACATACTGACACTGCGTTGTTGAGCTCCCGTTACAACTCACAAGACATTGCTGGGTATTAGCGAAATCGGGCTGTGAACAGTAGGAGGGGCAGTAAGACCCCCGAGGTATACAAATAGCTGTATTACAGGGGTACTGATTTTGGTAAATTTCCTGGGCACAGTATGTGGGGCAGGGGGTGGGCTGACATAGGAGAGTGTTACAGGGGTATTGATTCTGATACGGGGCCAGGATACAGTACATAGGACAGGCCGTGCCCTGGTTAGTATGCACGGCTGATACGTAATTAAAGGGATAGCCGGATTTTTCAAAACTGCACGTCTCTGCTGTGAATCTACGGTCCGTCAGGTAGTTCTTTAGTCCAACTCTTATCATAAAGTCGTATGTGCGCCTACAATTTAAGAAATAAATTTATTCCCCTAGCTAAAGATTGTGAAAGACAATGATATCAACAAAAATTGTTATTGGAGGCGTCATATTTTTTTCATTCGCCTAGGCCAGGAATAAAGTTAAATCTGATGATCATTGAACATGTGTATGAATATCAATTAGCAGCACTTACAACAACAAGATATCATGGCAGATCAACATTTGAAGATCCAGGTAGGG